AGGGAGAAGCAGACTCCCTGCCGAGCAGGGAGCCCGATGCGGGACTCGATCCCGGGACTCCAGGATCATGACCTGAGCCGAAGGCAGTCGCCCAACCAACCGAGCCACCCAGGCACGCGAGAAACTTCCATTTCTGTTTCCACAGTAGCTGCACCAAGTCCCACCAACAGTGCACAACAGCTCCCATTTCTCCACACTCTTGCCAACGCTTGTTATCTCTTTTCGATAATCACCATCCTAAGACGTGTGATCTCTCATTATGGTTCTAATCTGCATTTTCTAATGATTAGTGATATTCAGTACCTTTTCACATATCTGCTGACCATTTGTAAATCATCATGTCACACACCTTAAATATAGACAATTTTTTGTCAGGTGGACCTCAGTAAGGCTGGAAAATAGAGTATGAGCACCTACTGTTCTTACATAGTCTTCTAGGTACCAGAAATACAGTAGAATAAAAAACGCACAAAAATATTTTCCCTCCTGGGACTCTCCTAGTTGTTAGTAGAAATGACAGTAAAAACATGTAAATAAATATATGGTATGTTAGATCGGGGAGAGTCTTTGTAGACAAAAAAAAGCAGGAATGGGGTTAGGGAGTATGAGGTAAATGCATGAGGAAGATCATCCCTAGATGAACAAAGGAGTCCACTGTGACTGGAGCAGAGTGGAGAGTGGAAAGAAAATGATGGGAAATAAGGTCAGAGGGACGACAAGGGGAGATCCTGAGGGATGTTGGATGAACCTCTGAGATGGGGAGCCACTGAAGGGTCTTGCATAGGAAAGTTTCATGACAATTCTACTGTTATTGTTTGTTATTTTTGTGATTGTTCCTCCACTCATTTTAATGGGTATGACTTTATCACACAGCTGACGCTGAACTGAGTTGAGGCTGATCAAGTCAGGTTCTAGTAGAAAGGTGAAATGGAAAGTTAAAAAATTAGATCTAAATTATTAACTTTAATATCTAACTTTAATAAATAATTAAAAATAATACACCAAAATGTGAGTCCCTTGAGACCTCAGGCATTTTGTCTGTTTTGTTCAGTGCCATCACCTCCATGGCTAGACCAGTGTCTGGCATTGGAAAAAGCTCAACAGATTTGAATAGATAAATATTTAATTAGCATTAATACATAGTAAATTTAAAGTCACAAAAATATTAACACTACATACCATTTTTATGATCAATTGTTTTTTTCAAAGTAGATGCTAAAACACTCTTCTGTGCTTCCCAGGATCACAGTGACTGTTCAGATAATATACTTCCTGCAAACAGAAAAATCTAATACTCTGTTAGCCTTCTCACATATTCCAGCTCTTCTAAATATATTCCCACTTATGTCCTGCCCAAGCCCACTTCCAACTCTGGTTTTGAGTTATCCCATCTGGTTTAGTTGCATCAACATAAATGCAGAACAACAATAGCAAAAAAGAATAATCTTTTGCCACAAAGAGCGTATCACTCCTTTTATCCCTGATGACAGAAACTCCCTAATAATATAAACGCCTGTAACTTGCATTTAAGTAGAAAGAGGAGAGGTGGCAGGAAGTAAATAATATTCCAGGAGCTTGATTTAAAATTGTAAGTGTTTTTTCTAACAGAGTAAAATCTGGAGATAAGTTAATATTTATATCTCTGAAGATAAACAGAAAAAGTGAAGAATACTAAACAGATATATTCACATTCAAGGACAAATTTCCATTAGATACAGTACCTCTCAAATTTAAATTTAAGATGAAGCTACAGCAAACTACAGGTCCATCTTTGGAAAAATAAGTCCAATGAATTTTTTCAAATAAGTTTCTGTAATTTAAAAATCAAACAATTAGTGATCGTCATAGATGATAAAATACTAAAACTTCCCTGCTTTTAAACTTTTTTGATCTATTGAATGATACGCTAGTGCTGTATTCAAAGCATTTGAACTCTGTTTTATGCAATTCCCTTTTCTGCTGTAGTGAAACTATTTTTATGTCTTTATGCAGTGTAAAATATAAAAGAAATTTTTATGTTATCCTAGAATATTTCAGGTCACCTTCAGAACATAATAATCTATTAATACTAACTTTATTATGTCTATTAACAAGATGTCTTTGGCATATTTTAGATGCATCCACGTTTCCACTGGAAAACGCCCCAATTGGGCACAATAGACAATACAACATGGTGCCATTCTGGCCCCCAGTTACCAACATAGAAATGTTTGTTACTGCTCCAGATAATCTGGGATATACTTATGAAGTTCAGTGGCCAAGTGAGTATTGAAAATGTACCTTTACTGTGGAAACTTCCCAAAGCAAATTTGTTGCCTTTTAAGGTAGTCACAGTATTCTGTGGCCTATAATTTCCACTTAGATTTAGAAGGTGTTATGTGGATTTTTATTTCGGGATAAAGAGGTTGAATTTAGCATTTGTTGAGAGCTTGCTCTGACCTGGAATTAAGTTGATTATATAGCACACTATCCCATTAATCCCTACCACTCTCTGAGGTAACAATTGTAATCCTCACTTTACAAATAAGGTAGAAGGGGCTAGCCATGATTAGCTTAGAAAGGGTAATTGTCAAAGATCACACTCTTAGTAGGCAGGGAGAATGAACTTTGAGCTTAGGCCCATGTAATATGCCCCAATTTTTCTACTACATAATTGTGCCTCATTATCTTTATTATGAAAAAAAAAAATGGAGTGAGATACTCCTCATTGCTTTTTCTGAGATTTTGAAATTGAAAAGTTTCTTGTTTAATTTCCAGTCCCTTCTCAACAAAGGCAGTAGGGTGGAAGAGCGCACAGCACACGGATTCTGAAAGACTTGTGCTCCAAAACCAACTCTAGTGCCTACTAACCAAGTCACCCAAGTGGCTCAAACCCTCCAGCACCATTTTCTCAACCTTTAGAATGGAATTAACAATAACTACCCCAATAGGGTCCACTTACTATGAGAAACTGGGACGTGCCTTCAAGACGACAGGTGCTATTATCATCAGCAATGTGGCCAGTAAAAATTATATATGAAGAATTTGGTAAAATGCCTGCAACAGTGCCTAAGTTTAGGGTATCTGATTTCCGGTGGCAACTATTTTACTGTTTATTCTTTGTTTTCCTTTTATTTTTCCAATAGGTCGGAATTTTAGTATTTCTGAGATTGTTACCATAGCAGTAGTCGCTGCTTTATTACTGGTTGCAGTCATTTTCGGGGGTGCTTCTTGCCTGATTAGGGCCAGAAACAACATGGATGAAGCAAATCAGCCTCTTCTCACGGATCAATATCAACACTATGATGAAGACTATGAAAAAATGGAGAATCCTAATCAGTCTAGGGTCTAATGATAAAACCAATTCTCTTATGTATTAGTATCACAAAAACACCTTGTTGAAAAATAATAGGTTAAATTTCTTCCTTTATTTACTTTCCCTCTGTTACTTTCTTCCTTATGTGTGCACAATAGAATTAGAGCTCTAAGTATTGTTTTTCAAAACTGGGAAGAGTTAAAACCTTTTTTAATGGGTTCTATGTTTTAACTCTATTTAAAATGGTAGGTTGTATGTTAACTAACCAAAATTTAAATAAGAACTTGAAACATTAAAAAAAATAAATAAAATGGTAGGTTGTAGGCACATACCCTAACCCCTAACCCTAATCCCTAACCCTAAGCCTAACCCTAACCCTAACTCTAACCGTAACAGTAACCGTAACAGTAACCCTAACTGTAACCCTAACAGTAACCCTAACCATAACCCTAACTCTAACCCTAACAGTAACCCTAACCCTAACCCTCTGGAGAGGTCCCTGAACGGCAAAATACCAAGCACATACCCTAACCCTAACCCTGAATCTGAGAAAGTGGCTTCCTGAACACATGACAAGAAAAGCTGAGAAGCAGCCTAGTTATCCTAGAGAAGACCCCAACATTTAAGAACTGGTAGTATTTCTGAAAATGGGTGTGAAGGTAGAGATTTAAAAAAAAAAAATGGTAGTTTGCGCCAACTCCATGGTATATAAGCAGAGAGTGTGAAGATTTGGGGCATGTTTTAAAAGTCAACTATATGACAATGTAAATAAGCTATTGTGCTTTGTGTATAAAGAAAAATCATGATAGTAAATCTCTGATTAAAATACAGGAGTAGGAATTTCTACAATGTTAAAATGCAAATACCTTTCCGTTTGTTGACATTGAACAACAGATATATAGGAAGCCACATTTATTAATTAAAATCAATTATGTGGAGCTACAAATGGGATCCCAATTAACTTTTTGAAACTAGAATTCCCCCTGGGCATCAGCATACATTTTAGTGTAAGGGTCAAAGTCACAACAAAATCATAATCATTGTCCATTTTGAAGTGATAAAAACTTCACTTTGTTTAAAAGACAATTGATACTGTATCTGATTGCTACTATGTTCTACCTCTCAATTCACTGAAAAAGGAACTACCCATTTATACATTTCACCTCCCAGTTCCTCTTCCAGTATCTTAGAGGTCCACAAGCCAGACACAAAGGTGGAGAACACACGATACGGTGTTCTACAGTTACCATTCAATTGATTGTGTTGACTCCAAATAGCATTCTCTTATCACTTAACAGCCTTTTGTATGTTTTCAAAATAAAATATTAAAAATATTATTCCCTCAGTCCCCTTTTCTATGCACTCGTGCAAGACTCTCATTAATTTTTTTCTTCTTCCTATCTTCTAACATAAAATATTTTTACTATTTTTGATCTTGGGCTACTGAAACTATATTCCCAAAGAAGAATTTTAAAGTCTGGTCAGTCTGAACAAACATTTTCAATAAAATCAGCAAAAGAAATACTAACAATAGTAATCATACACTATAGAAAATGGGGAGTCTGATATTCTCAACTCAAGAAATAGAAACAAGATTAACATTATATACACACAGGGGTGCCTGGGTGGCTCACTCGGTTAAGCGTCTGCCTTTGGCTCAGGTCATGATCCCAGGGTCCTGGGATCGAGTCCTTCATTGGGCTCTCTGCTCAGTGGGGAGCCCGCTTCTCTCTCTCTGTCTGCCTCTCCCCTTGCTTGTGCTCTCTCATTCGCTCTCTGTCAAATAAATAAAATATTTTTTAAAAACTTAAAAAAAGGTGATGCACAAACAATTGATTACTGGTTTTCCCTATACTAAGCAATCTTAAGGCTATGTACACAAGATAAGTAGACAAAATGTGATAGTGAAAGAGAATGCATGTACTAATAGTATCTTTTAAATTTTCAAATAGCATTACTGAATTGATTTTCTGAATACATTTGATTTATTAAAATATATACTCATAGCTTTTCAGATAACTTATTGTATAATGTAAGGTTTCATTTCATATAAACATCAATAAAACCAAGTCCACCACATCATATTTTTAGAGATTTTTTTAAAGATTTTATTTATTTATTTGACAGAGACACATCAAGAGAGGGAACACAAGCAGGGGAAGTGAGAGAGGGAGAAGCAGGCTTTCTGCTGAGCAGGGAGCCCAATGTGGGGCTCTATCCCAGGACTCTGGGATCATGACCTGAGCCGAAGGCAGACACTTAAGGACTGAGCCACCCAGGCACCCCAGAGATTTTTTTAAATACTCATTTCATAAACATTTATTGGGCTCATCCTGGATTTCAGACATAGTTCCAGGTACTGTGGATTTGGGGAGGGGAAAGTAAGGAATATAAAATTGAGAAGGTCACATTTGATGTGGGCTTCAAGGAAAGCTAATGGATTTACCAAATTCAGGAGTAGAGAAGGGTACTCCATGCAGAAATGACAGCAGGAACAAAGTGACAGAAGTTTGGATGAGCATGGAACATTCAAAAATATAAAAGTAGGTCAGTGTGGTTAGAGCATAGTTTTCATGGGGAGAGTAGAAAGATAAATTGGGAATAAAATTGGTGTCATATATGAAGTCCTAAGAAATTTGAAATTCATTCTACAGGTAAGAGGGAGCAGGGAAGAGTCACAAATAAAGGATGTTTTACAAAGATAATGATGGTGGTGATGTTTGTAAATAACGTCTATTAAGAATAATTTGGAGGGGCGCCGGGGTGGCTCAGTCGTTAAGCGTCTGCCTTCGGCTCAGGTCATGGTCCCAGGGTCCTGGGATTGAGCCCGCATAGGGCTCCCTGCTTGGCGGGAAGCCTGCTTCTCCCTCTCCCATTCCCCCTGCTTGTGCTCTCTCTTTCTCTCTCTGTCAAAATAGATAAATAAATAAAATCTTTAAAATAAAATATAAATAATTTAAAAAAACTAATTGTAAGAGAAAGCTACACCCATTATATTGTAACTGTAGCTTTGATTATTTCTCCCTAAATATGTTGCTTTATTTTTCTTCCATTCAAGGACTTCTGTTTCTTTTACAGCACTGTCTGATCTTATGACTTATCTTGATCAGGTGACCATTAGTCTTCTGTAATATGTCATATATGATCTTATGTGTTATCTTGATCAGGTGACCTTTACTCTTCTGTAATATGTCATATCATTCTCTTCAAATAATATTCGCTTGCAATCTTGGATATTTTCTACTGTTCTCGGTCCTTCAGTTCTCTTATAAAACACAGTCAATGAAGTTATTATGCACTCACTAGAAAGCCCATTCCACACCACTTAAATAGATCTTGCCCTGTTGCATCAGCACCCATTATTTGCCAGGGCCACAAACTGAGCTAAGTGTTATAGTCTAAACAGAGTGAGAAGCCTGGCTGGATCTTCTTATATAATCAAAGATGAAAAACTATTACTTTTGTGTCCCTCTGAAGGTATATACTATCTTCATTCCTAGAAGCAGACCTCAGAGACAGTGCTCACTTTAAAACTGGATGCAGGGAAAAAGATTTTGACTGTTAAAATATCTATTCCAAGATTCGGTCATAAGACCTTTGTTCTGAGCTCAGCCCATGACTATACGTCAATGTTATGTATTTTGTCCTTTGCCTAGGCAAAATTTTTATTAACCAACCAGCCAATGGAACATCATGTTGGGCAGAGAGAGCTAATATGAAATAGAGAAAGGACAAAAAAATTTTAAATATATTAGCAAACCAAGAACAGAGCCTGATATAAAAGAGATAAAATGTAAAAAGGAAAAACGCAAAATCTGGCACCTCAAAAGCACAAGTGCAAAATTAAACAATGAAGGAAGACAGGAACTAGCAGGATTCTTTACAAAATAACCAGGAGATTTTAGTAGATTTCAAGTTCGGTGTAAGCCAATAGTGCAATGCAACTAATAAAGGGGGGAAATGCTATGCTACTGAAAAGTGAGGAAAAGTAGTGTGCAAATGAAGATATGCTGTGCTTCATAATACAGAAACAGAAATCCATGGTGTTAGAGTCACATCTGGAGTATCTATTCCACTTTAAAACCACAGTTTAAGGGAAACGTTGACAAACTAGAAGGTGCTTCCTCATCTTTCACATGATACAATGCTACAGTTACCGGCCCAAGAGAGAACCTTGGAAGTCACTCTTAAATTCTACCATCCCTCTCAATCCTCACATCTAATTAGTTAACAAGTTTGTTAATCCTGAGCATTGAACCCATCATCTAAAGTAGGGGTTCCAACTGGAGGGCAATTTATACCCTGGAGTCATTTTGGTGTGGGATAGCTACTGGCATCTATTGGGGTGCTGCTAAACATCCCACAATACTCAAAATTGCCTCCACATTGAAAAATTAATCAGCCCAAGATGTCAATAGTGCTGAGGTTAAGAAAATGTGATCCAGAGCTACAAGGATAAACAGGTTTCACAGTGTTCCCGGCTTCCTAGAACTTAGTACCTAAATGGGAAAGAGTGGCAAAAAACAATGTACTTTATTAGCAATACATTATAGCCTCAAAAAATAAGTTTAAAAGGTAGAGAGTCCAAGCACAATGCTACTTTCAAGGATTCAAGCTCTTTCTAATTTTCTTCCACTACCCTTAGTGTGTGGTCTCTATCCTTTTGTTTATACTGTCAGGGCCGCAAAATGGCTACTCCAGAAATAAAAGGCATCCAAATCGGCAAAGAAGAAGTCAAACTCTCACTCTTTGCAGATGATATGATACTTTATGGGGAAAACCCAAAAGACTCCACCCCAAAACTGCTAGAACTCATACAGGAATTCAGTCAAGTGGCAGGATATAAAATCAATGCACAGAAATCAGTGT